CCTGTCTTCCGCTGTCCTCTGAAGTTTGCTCAGTTTCATGTTCATTGCATCGATGACACTATCCAACAATCTCATCCTTTGCCGTCCCCGTCTTCTTTGACCTTCAATCTTTCCCAGCATCAGGGTCTTCTCCAGTGAGTGCTCCCTTCTCATTGGGTGGCCAAAGTATTTGAGCTTCAGTTTCATTATCTGGCCTTCCAGGGAACAGTCAGGGTTGATTTCTTTTAGGATTGACTGATTTGATCTTCTTGCAGTCCAAGTGACTCTCAAGTCTTCTCCAGCACCATAGTTCAAAAGAATCTATTCTTCGGCGCTCGGCCTTCCTTATAGTCCAACTCTCGCAGCCATACATGACTACTGGGAATACCATTGCTTTGACCATGCGGACTTTTGTTGGCAGGGTGATGTCTCTACTTTTTATCATGCTGTTTAGGTTCGCCATCGCTTTCCTCCCAAGTAGCAGGCGTCTTTTAATTTCATGGCTGCTGTCACAGTCTGCGGTGATTTGGGATCCCAGGAACGTGAAGTCTGTCACTACTTCCACGACTTCCCCTTCTATTTGCCAAGGAGTGATGGGACCGGATGCCATGATCTTAGTTTTTTTGATGTTGAGCTTCAAGCCCACTTTTGCGCTCTCCTCTTTTACCCTGAGCACGAGGCTCTTTAGGTCCTCTTCTCTTTCTGCCATTAGAGTGGTATCGTCTGCATATCTGAGGTTGTTGATCTTTTCCCCAGCAATCTTAATTCCCGCTTGTGATTCATCCAGGCCAGCATTTCGCATGATGTACTCTGCATATATATTAAATAAGCAAGGTGACAATATACATCCTTGTCATACTCCTTTTCCTATGCTAAACCAATCAGTTGTTCCATATCCGGTTCTAACTGTTGCTTCTTGACCCTTATACAGGTTTCTCAAGATACATGTGAGGTGGTCTGGTACTCCCATCTCTTTAAAGACCTGCCATAGTTTGTTGTGATCCACACAGTCAAAGGCTTTAGCATAGTCAATGAAGCAGAAGTAGATGTTTTTCTGGTACTCTCTTGCTTTCTCCATAATCCAGCGAACGTTGGCAATTTGATCTCTAGTTCCTCTACCTCTTCGAAACCCAGCTTGTACTTCTGGCAGTTCTCTATCCACGTACTGTTGAAGTCTAGCTTGTAGGATCTTGAGCATGACCTTGCTAGCGTGTGATATGAGTGCAATTGTACGATAGTTTGAACATTCTTTGGCATTGTTGTAGCAAATATCTTGTAGTCACAATTTAGCAGGGAGATTGGGCGATAGGATTGGGGCGATTGAGGATCTTTGTCTTTTTTTGGAATAGTAATGATCCTGGCTTGGGTCCAGGACTCAGGTATCAATCCAAGGGTTAATAAATTGTTACATACGATTAACAGTGGATCTACAAGTTGGTCTTTAAAAGATTTATAGAATTCGGCAGGAAGGCCATTCCTGCCCGGGCATTTATTGGGTTTAACTAGTTTTATGGCCTTTAATAATTCACTTGATGTGATTGGATCGTCCATTAGTTTATTGTGTGTTGGAATTAATTTTTTAACGTTCAGGAATTTTTTAATTGATCCCAAGGATGGGTTGTCCGTTTGATATAGGGATTGATAAAATTTTCTAAAAATTTGAGTAATATCTTTGGTTGAAGTTACAATATTTCCTTCTTTATCTTTTAATGAGGAGACATGTCTAGAGGAAATTTGAGATTTTAATTTCCATGCTAAAAGTTTTAATGATTTCGGATGGCGATACCAGTACTTATGCTTAAGATAGAGTAGTTGTTTTTGAATTTTGGTGGATTCAAGGGAATCTAATTTCTTTCTTTCCATTAGAAGACATTTATAAACTTTTTTAGAACCAGTTTTTTAATGTTTTTCTTCTAATGCTGTTATGTTGTTCAGTATTTCATCCATTAATTTATTTCTCTTTTTGTTGTCGTAGGAAGAAATAGAGATTATCTTCCCCCGTATGACGGCTTTCATGGCGTCCCAAACAACTGAATTTGGAACACCACAGTCTGAATTTGAGTCAAAATATTCTTTCAGCGATTTTTCAATTTCCTGACATGCTAACTGATTAAATAAAAGATTTTTATTTAAAGACCAAGTATGTGAGCCCTTTATTTCTGGTGATAAAAGTAAATAACATTCAATCCAGGCATGATCGGACAAAGTCCTCAGGCCAATGTCTGATGAAGTGATCCTATTGGTTAAAGATATAGAGGTTAAAATATAATCAATTATTGTAAAAACATTATGTACTGGCGAGAAAAATGAATAATCTTTTGTGCCTGGGTGTTGTAGTCTCCAAATGTCATTCAGGTGATGTTTAACAAGAAGGTTTTTAATATTGGACTTCTTAGCTTTGACTGATTTAGAGGTTGGGCCGGGAGTATAAGATCTATCCCATTGAGGGTCAGAGACAGAGTTAAGATTTCCCCCAATCATTACATGACCTTCTCTAAATTCCTCGAGGATTGACAAAGAATCTTGTAGGAACTTATCTTGCCCTGAGTTTGGGGAGTAGATTACACCAAATGTCCATAATTCGTTGTTAAATTCGCCTTTTAAAAATAAATAACGTCCCTTCGGGTCGATTAATTGGGAGCTACATTGAAATTGTATCCTATTAGAGAAAAGAATGGCTACTCCCCAGGAGGAGGAAGACCCAGGGGCTAGATATTGGGAACTGAATCTTTTAGATTTAAAAATAAAATTATTTGATTTTTTAAGATGTGTCTCCTGTAAGAAAATAATATCGGAGTGGATTTTGGTCAGAAAAGCAGAATTTTTTTTAGACTTTATACAATTGTTCAACCCATTACAGTTCAATGAAACAATTTTTATTTGATCAGCCACTTGACTCTAACATCGCCTGTATTATAACATCAAACTCTTGATAGACATAGCCAGTGTGTGATGATCTATTTCTAATAAACTTTAAATTGGTCTGAAAACTTACAAATTTAGGTAAAACTAACATTTTCAACATCAACAACAAAAATACAACAATTAACTCAATAAAAAAGTAAAAACCTTTGTCCTTCCTTGGAAGGATTCCTAATATTCAAGCTTGCCCTATCAACTGTAGGGCTAAAGCTAGTGAGCTGTTTTACCCACAGCCCACTAAAACTATACTGGGGGGGAGGTAATGAACTTCACATATCCTCCACCCTCCCACCTTGGGTGTTTTCAGAAAAATGGTAGGAATAATTGTTTGCACAAGTAGTTATCTTAACTCTCTACTCATGATATCCTTTCGCTGGACCAATATTACCTGTTAATCTAATTGAAGGAAATAAATCAAAGCAGTGAATACTATATAAGTCCAGCACATATGGAAATTAAAATAGACTTAAGTAAATAGTATCCAAGAACCCTTGATGTCTTAGAAGCATTGAACCAGCTCATTAAATCTTACTTTAGTAATTAAATAGTTATACAGACTTTTATTTGCCAACGTAAATTATTACGAACACATGCTGTGGATAATCAATCAATGGCATATGAAAGGTAATATTGGTTGGGTATTATCATAAATCAATCAAGAAATTCCTTTTGTGGTTTACTAGTAAGGAATATAATGTATTATTATTGCTGGAACAAAAATAGGTTGACTTCACCATTTTAAGAAATAAAACAGGTTAGTTGCACCATAAAACTTGTAATAAAGAAAAGACCTGGATGTTTTTCACTGAGCTTAAAGAAATTTTTTACCAAAATACTAAAAAAGAAAACCAAGTTAACTTAACCATTAAATATGTTGTCATATAATCATGATATAAAAACACCAATATAAAAAACAAAACAGGTTAGCTGCACCATTAATCCTGTTATAAAGAAGGGAACTAGATGTTCCTCTGCAAACTATTTGTAATGGTTTACTAATAAGGAATATAAAAAATACAACTAGATAGTTGAAGCGCGAAATTTACCACTCAGTGAAATAGCTTTGAATTCTTTTTTCATTTTTTTTGAAAGATAAATGGAATAAATTAATATTGCTGAAACAAAACTATGTTGACCTCACTATTATTAGAAAGAAAATAGGTTAGCTGCACCTTAATCATGTAATAAAGAAAGGGACTAAATGTTCCTCTCTGAGCTTTGAAGGAAAATTTACCATAATAGTAAAAAAGAAAAACAGGTTAACATTGCCATTAAATGTGTTACCATGTACTCATGTATTAAAATCACCAACATAAGAAAGAGAACAGTTTAGCTGTGCCTTTACTCCTGTAGTAAAGCCATAAACGAGCCGTACGAAACAAAGGGAGCCAGACAGCTGACTCCGGAGACAAATCATGGGATCGGCATAGATCTGCCTGAAATAACCAATACAAATCAATTAAAATCTGGAGGTTAAACATCTGAGCATTCAAGAGAAGACGGGTGCTGCAGTTTTGCAGTCGAATATACAGCAGGATTGAAGACTTCAGGGCCAAAAGGGACATAACGAAAGTCAACGGCGCACCCGCAACCGTCTGTTTGGAGCAATCTCCTGTTGATCTTGGTAGCGTGTCTCACTGGCCGGAGGTTTGGTTGGGGGGGGGGATCCGTCGCTAATCCGATGTCAGTAAGCAAGCCATAGCCTGAGTCCAGATCCATGGCAAAGTAACTTTTCCCTTGAAGGTTCACATGTATTTCGGTTGGGGCACTCCACCGAAAACGCACTTTATTCTCTAATAATTTTTGAGTGATGGGTTTCATCAACTTCCGGTGTTGTAGGGTTTCCTGGGAAAGATCTAATAACACTAGAACCTTGTTGTTTTTATACACAAGTCCCCCGTCTGTTCTAGATTTCTTGATGATGGCTTCCCTAGTTCTAGTATCTGGGAAGGACGCGACAATGTCCCTGGGATATTTTTCATTTTTTCTAGCCATAGGACCTACTCTATAGGCCCTATTGATAAGAGGGGCTACATTTTCTTCAAGGTTTAGCATAGAGGAAAGCCAAGAGGCTATAAAATTTTTGAGATCGGACTCACCCTCCGCATTCTCCACTATATTCCGAAATTTAAGGTTTTGTCCTCTTAGTTTATTTTCAATTGCCATTATTTTGTTGGCCGCCCAGTCTTCAGACTTTTGGAGGTTGCAAATGTCCTCTTGCGCCGCTATCGCTGTATCAAGGGCAGTCTCGGCTGCCTGGGAGACTTCTGATAGGGTAGAAGTGATTGCCTTAAGCTCCTCTGAGAAGGGCTGAATAGCTTGCCTGATCTGGTCCGCGATAATCGATTCTAGGCGATGGATCGTTGTTCTAAACTCGTATCGGGTTAGCATTGTGCCGTCTTCCTCGTCGTCCGAGTGTTCGGCCGCCATTTTGGATTCCGATTCAGGCGAATGGCTTGGAACTTGCTTCGGAGGTTCTCTCACCAAGAACTTTGTCATTTGGTGAGGTTTGTGAACAGTTTTGGAGGTGCGGGTCAGTCCCGTTCTGCCCATTTTGAGTCTTGACGCGTTCTGCTTTTTTTCGACGCTGTATTTACGATTTGAGGTGGGAGGATTAGAGGAGCTCTCGGATCAAGCAGTCACCATCAACGGCTGCTAAGCCACCAATATCATTATCAATATCTGTTTTTACCCCTTTTTGTTTTTATTTTTGGCAGTCTCAATGTTAATAAAAGCAAATTTGCATTTTTTAAAATAAAAATGTGAGTGTAATATTTGTTCCTGTCTTGCCACTCTCAAACATTTGACATTTATTCTATGTGGCGCTTACGTTGAACAAGTTTGGCCACCCCTGTTCTAGAGCATCTCATCAACATCACACCAGTAACCGCACATCACTTCTGGGTATTTACCTTAAGTGATGTCGTGCCGAGTTCTACAGCTGGGTAACAAAAATGAGGAACATGCATACTGGATGGACGATGCATTTCTGAGTAGCAGTGTGTGTCAATAAGATCTTGGGGTAAGGGTGAACCGAAAGTTAAATATGAGTAACCAGTGTGATGCAGTAACAAAAAAGGCTAATGCAGCCTTGGGGTGTATCAACAGAGGGATAACATCCAAATCACAAAATGTCATAGTCCTGCTATACACTGCATTGGTCAGGCCGCATCTGGAGTATTGTGTGCAGTTTTGGAGGCCTTACTTCAAAAAGGATGTGGACAGAATGGAGCGCGTGCAGAAGAGAGTGACGAGGAGACCAAGCCCTATGAGGAAAGGCTGAGGGACTTGGGAATGTTAAGTCTGAAGAAGAGGAGGTTCAGGGGGGACATGATTGCTCTCTTTATGTATTTGAAGGGCTGTCACTTAAAGGAGGACAGGGAGCTGTTCCTGTTGGCAGCAGAGAGTAGGACTCAAAATAAGAACATAGGAGACACCAATGTTGGATCAGGCCAAAGGCCCATCCAGTCCAACACTCTGTGTCACACAGTGACCAGAAATACCAGGTGCCATCAGGAGGTCCACCAGTGGGGCCAGGACATTAGAAGCCCTCCCACTGTTGACCCCCCCAAGTACCAAGAAGACAGAGCATCACTTGCCCCAGAGCCCCTATCTATACCTTGTGGCTAATAGCCACTGATGGACCTCTGCTCCATATGCTTATCTAATTCCCTTTTGAAGCCATCCATGCTTGTAGCCGCCGCCACTTCCTGTGGCAGCGAATTCCATGTGTTAATCACTCTTTGGGTGGAGAAGTACTTCCTTTTATCCATTCTAACCCGACCACTCAGCAATTTCATTGAGTGCCCACAAGTTTTTGTACTGTGAGAAAGGGAGAAAAGTACCTCTTTCTCTACCTGCTCCATCCCATGAATAATCTTATAAACCTCAATCATGTCAATCATGTTAAGGGTAGGAAGGTACGGGCTGGATATTAGGAAAAACTTTTTTACAGTCAGAGTTGTACAACAGTGGAAGTGGTGAGCTCCCCCTCACTGGCAGTCTTTAAGCAGCATCTGGACAAACATTTGTCAGGGATGCTCTAGGCTGATTCTGCATTGAGCAGGGGGTTGGACTAGATGGCCTGTATGGCCCCTAGTATGTGCTTCTGTGATTCTACTGATGTGATGCCATTTTTTTTAATCCTCCTGTCAGCCCTCAGTGGGCCAGTGATCAATAAAGAAGGAGAGTAGGAGACCCGCTACAGTAAGAGAATTGGTCTCCCTTTGCTAGAGACCTATGTTTTTAAAAACAAAGCTGGGATTCAGACAACCTAGTACACTATTGTTATAACATTATACCTATATGATGATATTTCTGTTGCTAGTGTTAAAACGCCCCAAACCCTCCCACTGGTGGACAGAGGATAGAGGAAATGGCTTATTGTGGGGAAAATGGCATCCATGTGGGTGAGACTAAGAAAATCCAAATTTGTAGCAGCCATCAAATCTTTGCTGTGATCTTTTCCTTTTTTGGAGGGGGGCACGGAGGGGATTTTTAATTGATTTTTATCCACTACAAAAAACTACAACAGAAAAAGGGGAGGGGAAACTACATATACGGGAGAAAGTAAAGAACCCACTACTAAATAAAAACCCAAGAGAGGAGATCCTCCAACTAGCTTAAATATATCAAGTCTTCTCATCGTTGATCCCTTTATAAACTGAGTCAAACCTTTATAGGCCTTTCCCCTCAAAGCTTAAATTTAACTGTCTAGTAACAGTACCCCCAATCATCCCAAAACCAAGAGTCTCAAAGGCACAATTCAGAGTCCTTCAGCCTTTACGTCTTCTTTTCCCTTCTCTTCCGCAACTTATAAGGACTTTTTGGGGCTGCCGCCCCTTGCTCAGACAGAGAGTCCTCTCCGGAAGAACCAGTGTCCATCTCACCACTGGACTTGCTGTCCTCTTCTTTTTCCTCGTCCTCTGGCCTTCCCAGCTGAACCCTTAGGAATTCTTGAGCTTTCAGAACAGAGTCAATCTTTTCTTTTTTGTCTTTGATCTTGAAAGTTATGCCTTCTGGAAATAGCCATTTATATCCAATTGAGTTTGTCTGAAGAAAAAGCACCAGCTCTTTGTATTTCTTTCTGCGTTGTCTTACTTCAAATGGAATATCCTTTAGCGTTCTGATGGTGTTTTCCCCTGCTTTCAGGGGTGTTCCCACAACCGCTTTCAGGATAGCATCCCTGACATGTCTCTTCGAGAATCTTACTACGATTTCCCCAGGCAAATTATTTTTCTTTATATATCCTGAGTATGATCTATAAACCACATCCATATCGTTGAGCAGTGATTCTGCCTTCATTTCAGTCGCTGGGGCTAATAGCTCACACAACACTTCTTTAAGATTCACCCCTCTGTTCTCTGGCACGCCCTGGAAGTGCAGGACCATGTTAGCCTTTTCCATTTGAACTTGCAGCATTTGATCTTCCATCAACGTGAGTCAATTTCCTAGCGTTTAAAGAGAAAAAGATAGCTCTCCACCCCACCCCACTGAACGGGAGAAAAAAAACGAGTGGGGGAGGGACGCCTCCTATGCGCACAAATTTTGAGCGATTGAGGGGGGAGCAGAAGAGAACGCGAGGGAAACTGCCTAGAAGTACTTACCAAAGCGAGTCTAAGCGGTCAAGTGCACATTCAGAGACTTTAAAAAAGTTTGTGAAAGTAAACAATCGACAAAGATGGCGGGGAAGAGGGACAAAGAAAGACTTTTGAAAGCAAAAGGGCTTGAGAGCCCAAAACCAGAAGTTACTACTGGAACAGCTGAATAACTTCAAAGAACAGATGTCCGTGGTTACTCAAGGCATTACTGCACAACAAACGCAAATAAACGACTTGATACAAATAATGAACCAAGATGCTGAGAAAGTAAAAGAAGTTTCACGTTCATAATCGGTCGTTCGACCTCGCTTTCATTTAGTTTCTGCCACATGATCCTCTGCGCTCGTCCCGGTCAGCATCACTAAGTCCATACGGTCTCACAGCACGGAGAACCGTCGGAATGAAGAGGCGCCTCAATTCTCAGGCATTCCACCCTCGAAGAGGCAACCTCTTTTAAGTTCCATGGCCAGGGTCCCTTTCGCCGGGCCCCTGGGGGGTTTGCGAGCCTGCGCACCCCCTTCTTCGGCTGGAGCGCAGCTTCACCCACGGGAGGTCCGGGAGGTGAGTCTGCTAGCGCGGAAGTCTGCTAGTGATCTTTTCCAAACTTCACAGTAATGCAGGTTTGGGAAAGATCAAGGGGAAACCCCTGGAGGTACACCATGATGCAGTGGGAAACCAGAGGGAAAAGCCTACTTCCCAACTTGGGTGGAAATTGCCAGAATGTGTAAAGTAATCCTGAGTGAATCTATGGGTGCGATCACATGAGCTGTTTGGACCAGCATAGGCACCCCTCCCTTCCGGATCAAATGGGCACGATCAAATATGTACATCTGGCTCTCATGCCCCAGCCGTCCCTACCTCGTGCTAAAATGACTCACACATGGATTAAATAGCCACCGGCAAATTCCAGCAACTACCTCAGCAAGGCGCTTCCATTGCAGGTTTCTGGGCATCTGATCGCCTAGGCGTGCCATGGAAACACATGAGCAGTGTGATCATTCCTCTTCATTTTCGGTGTGTCCCTTTTTTCTCCAACCCCACTTCAAGGTGCGCTTCAGCGCTCCCATCAGCTGCGTGTGGTGCTCCTGTGTGGAAGCGCATGCATGCATGCATGCAAAGCCTGGTGTTTGGGTTAGGAAGCTTGGAAAAGTGAATTCCACAGGTGCTGGGTATCTCTTGGCCACTGCCACTCTCAGGGAACTATGTTCCAGTCAGCAGACATCCTCCCTGGGAAGCTGCAGACATGTCAGGGCGAAGGAGTTCTCAGAACTATACAGGGGCTAACTGAACTTTCTGAGAGGAGCATATCTGCACTTGTCTGCTACTGTGCATGTGCCACGGAACTTAGGGGGGAAACCCATTCAGCCGTGGGTCTGTGGTTGCGGCATGCTGCCGATGTGAACGACCGACCACGGGCTGTAGCACTATGATACCAGCTTAGTGGCCACTGTGTGACAACACAAAGCGTCCCAAACTCAAGCGGCTTAGAGCTGATATACTGCTGCGGCAACCTGCCCATCTGACCGCACCCTATGACTGGACAAGTGTGGTGCAGTCCACTGAATTTACTAAAAAGGTGCCATTTTGGATTTCAGTAGGAACAGAGATTTGATAGAAAGAGAGGGATTCAGAGCAAGATTCAGTGGCTGTTCCAGAGTAAGCTATAAATAGCATTGGTTTTTAAAATCACTTATGGTTGTTTTCATAAATATGTTTTATATAATATGTTTTGAATAATATATAAATATATTTAATAAACACAGGTCAGGTCATTTCCACATAGATTATTTGCCTTGGGTTGGGTTGATGCTCTTAGCATTTATTCTTGCTTCTCTGTAGCATCGTAGTGCACTCCTGTACCTCCTGGGGTTTCCCTGGCTTTTCCCCAGTCTTTCCCAAATCTGCTTTGCTCCAAAGCATACATGCCTGTCTCCTTGTGAAAATCATCTTTGC